TGTTTTGGGGCTGATTTTCCCACGAGAGCTTTGCCCCCTGTGGTGCTCAAGGCCATTTGCTCTGTGTGTGGAAGGGAATAATCACCATGGAAATGAGTAGCTATCAGCAGTGAATCTTCTAATCCCACAGGATGAACTTCAGGCTTAGTCCCAGAGAAGGTGGTACTCCCATCATCATCTGGTGGCACTGCTGAGAGCCAGCCTCTCTCCAACCTCTCTGCCACCCGCTGCTTGTGAGGGCATACCAAGGGCATTTTGGATAGAGGCAGTAGGGTATCTTAGAGGAGAAGAGGATGAAGAACAACATTTCTGCATTTTTTCCCCTTTTCTTGTAGATTTTGTTTTCTTTTTTACTTGCCCTAGCTTGCTACAATTATCACAACACATGTGGCCCACTAAATAGGGAAAAAGCCCACCAATTTCAAGCAGAAATGCTGGAAGATTGGGGCCATCCTTCTCCTTGCAGATGACACAACCACATTCAGGCTTTCACTGGAGCAGAAGGTGGGTCTGAGAGGCAGGGAGTGACATTTGGAGGAGGGCTGGATTCCATATGCTGGGGTGTAAGTCTTGGGGTTGTGCTGCCACAGCTTGCTCAGAGGAGCCCGTGGGATGCTGCTGCCAGAGCCAGTGTGCCCAGAAGCCACACATTCCCACTGCTTGCACAATGTCTTGGGGGAGGGTTGCTTGGGCCCCTTGGCCCCCAGGGTGCTGCTTTGCACAAGCTCTGGTACCCTTGTGCTCGAGGGAGGTGTCCCCATTCCCGTGGTGCCCCAGGGATGAGGAATGGCCACTCCCAAGTACCACACACACACAGAAGTTCACTCCGGTCACCCGGAGGCTGATCCCATGATTTAAGGCAGGAGGGGCTGATTCATTGCTCTCAGCACCCAGCACAGTGTGGGTGGCTTGCTTTGTTCCCTAACTCCCCTTTGGGACACTGCCAGCGAGGGCATCCCTGGGAGGACAAGGTGCAGCTGATGGTGACAGGGCTTGCAGGAGGATGACAGCTCCTGAGAAGGTGAGCAGAGGCCCTCCAGCCAGCCAGGATACCCAGGTGCATGGGGATGCAGCCCAGGCATGGTGCAGGGGGAAAACCTCTGCTGGCTGCCTCTACCACCTTCCACAGCCTTTGGCTGTCCCTGATAAAAATAGCCACTGGCCTCTGTGCTGTGCCTGCAGCAGGCAGCTGGGCACTGAGACTTTCTTTTTCGGCTGATTGCATGGCATCTATTTTAGCAAGGAGCTGCTCTCAAGAGGTTTTGCTGATGGAAACACTTGCCCACTGTTGTGCTTGCCCCAGCCAGCCCCTGGGCTCTGCAGGCAGCTGGTGCTCCCACTGTGGCCCTGTCCTGCAGGGCTTCTGCCTCCCCATGAAGCCCATGGCTCTCAGCTGGGCACTGAATTTGTTATGTCTCAAAACTGGGTCTCCTTACATCACTGCAGGGGATCAGCTGGGCCCTCTGCCTTCTTGGTGAGCATTTCAACCCAAACTTGAAAAAGCAGGTTTGGGAAAAGGGACCCACATTCTCCCACTGTGCCATGAAATGAACAGGTTCAAACTAAAGTCCCAGGGAGGGCTCGCGCTATTGTAAATGCAGGCGAACCCAATGGGAAGAAATGGTGATGTCTCACTCAATTCAGAAGGCTGAATTATTCCTTTATTATAACTATGCTAAAATACATTAATATGTTATATAAAAGGAGGATACTAAAACTACGTACTATTTTCTCTGACTCTATCTCTCCCACAACTCGTGCCCCTCTCTCCAGAGTCCAGCCCCAGGTGGGTTGGATTGGCCATCAGGCTCAAACAATCCTCACCTGAATCCAATCAAGCAATCACCCCCAGGTAAACAATTCTCCAAACACATTCCGCATAGGAAAAACAAGGAGCAGAAATAGAAATTGTTTTCTCTTTCATTTCTCTCTGTGCACCTCTATGAAAAATCCTGAGGGGGGAGAGAAATGTGCTTGCCACATTATGCCTTGCTTCAACTGCCTTGGAGCATTTCAAATGTAGGCCCAAGAACTCCACAAATGGGGCTCCAAGAAGGAGGTGTGTTGTGAAGAGACATAACAACACACCCTCTCAGCCCACTTCTTGTCTCTGGAAGCAGCAAAGGTGCTGGGGGAAAACTGGTTCTGGCTTGGGGACAGCTTTCTTTCTTCATTGTGCCTTTGAGCTCTATCTTTGGCTCCACTCATTGCTTGCTCCAGGAATGAGTGTTGACCATGGGAATGATGGAGCAGACACTTCAGTGGGGATTCTGTGCTGCACCACACAAGCCGAGCTCCTGATCAGCCCTCAGCACAGGTAGGGAAGGAGATATAGGTGCTAAAGGTCTCTGATGCTTTTGTTTTCAAAGGCAATCAGCAATTCTGGCTGCCTTCATTTTGGGTTCATCTCAGGGCAGCTTCAGCTTATCTGGTTTGCAGGGGCTGTAGCTACCTCCTATTCTGGAAGTCAAGGCCTTTGGAAGCCTTTCAGGTGGGAAGAAAGGGAGTGGGCTGCTCTGCCATTGCTGGAAAATGCAGCCTAGGAATGCAGCGGTCCCCAGAGGCTCCCCAGGCTGCCACTGCTGGCTCAGCAGCATCCCCCAAAACACAGGGCTGCCAAGCCCCACGATGGGACACAGTTCTTGCATTGCAGCTCTCCCTGTGTCCCCTGTGGGATGCATTCATGGTTGGGATGGGCTGGAATGGGTGGCTGTGGGATGGAGCCTGGTGTAAGGAGGGCAGGGAAGGAGCTGAACAGCTGCTGCCTCCTTTTCCTCCTGCTGTGTGCTGCAGGAAGCACCCTGAGAGGAGTCAGGTTCCTCCTGCTCCCACTCTCTGCAGGCCTGGAGTCTGTTTGGTGGAAAGAGTGAAAGGGGACAGCAGATGAGAGCCTGTGGTACTTCCCATGGGCAGCAATTTTCTCATCCTTCTTTCACAAGCTCTCCCAAACCCTCCCTCACAGGATCTCCAGATAGAGGCTGGAGGACAGCAGCCATCCCTTTCATGGAGCAGCAGCTTCCCTGTGGATGCAGGCCCTGCCTCTCATGTAGCTGCTCTGCTCCCTGGCAGCCTGCCTGGGCACTGCCGCAGCTCAGGGGTGGCCCTGAGTCCCGAGGACCTCAGCAGCAGAGACCCACTGCACCCTCAGCTTTTTGGGATCCCCTGCAACCCCATGCCACCCACCCACTGCCAGCCGATGCGCCACTCGCCCGAGGCACGCCTGCCATAGCTGGTCTGCGCCCTTTTGCCTGTGAAAGCAGAGCTGTGGGTGATGCTGGAGAGCAGCGAGGAGGAGGGAAGGGGTGCAGGAGTCCAGCTTGCCTCTCGCCCCGTGTCCCTCTGGCTGGGTGAGCTGTTTGCTCGTGCCGCTGCAGCCAGCCCTGGGATGGTGCAAGCCAGCGGCTGCCAATTGACGTCAGAGGAGCGCCGGTGGTTTGTGTGAGCTGAGGGACTGCTTCCACTCGAGGTGGGTTTCCAACACCACACAGAAATGCTTCAATCCCCCCGCTTCCCCTCCCTCTGCTCCAGGAAAACAAGTGCCTTATTTCATTCATTGGCTGGTTTGGTTATGGCATGAATCCTGCCCATATTTTGGCTACTCGGTTGTTTGCTGAGGACCAAGCAGCCCAGATAATACTAGCAAAGAGCAGGGGAGTGAAAAAGAAGGGGGGAAATAGGGCAAAGCCAAATTTAATCTCCCCCGCCTCAGTTTGTGCCGCATGTCCCAGACAGGACTAAAGACGTATTTTTTTTATTCTTGCATTGCGTGCTATGTTTTTGAGCCTTGTGAAAAAGCGGGATGCTGAGTTCCTGCCATCCTTCTTCTCTTCCCCTTCAAATCACTGCATGTTCTGTGCAATGTGTCTGGGCCAAGGCAGTTTGTTTGAACTTGCTGCATTTTCCCTTGACTGCTCAAGTTTTCCTTCAGCCACTTTATTTTTTATTTTGTGCTGCACTTATTAGCTACAACCCCTCTGTTTTTCACTTGTCTCTGGCTTGATTTGACAGTGACAGTGTCAGTGCATTTTCCCTAAGCCCAGACCAATGTCTTTAACTGCAACATATCTTTCCAAACCTGGAGTGATTCCTACAGGGAGTGCTTGGAGGAGTCACTGGAGATCCATGGACTTTGGATCAGGCCTGTGCTCTCGGATCACTCCATACGTGTTGCTGCCAATCCATGGGGCCGGACCCTTTAAGATTGTCCAAAACAAACACTCTCCGGGTGAGATCAGTGTGCAGCTTTTCATCACGTGAAAAGCTCTGTGATAACAGCTGACTGCATGTTTGCTTTCATATGGCATTGATTCTTATTTCCCTGACTATTTTTAGTCTTCAAGGTTGTCCCTTAATCAACTCGCTTTCTTTAATAGCTGGTGCTGCCCCTACTGTGCTGCAGCAGGGCTAATGATGCTTTGTACTTGGTGTGGGAAATATGAATTAGTTTCTCATCCATTTCAGTGGCACAGGAAATATGAGCTAGTTTTTCATCCATTTCAGTGCCTTGAATCAGATCCTCATACAGTCACTGAAAGAAAAACCCCATCAGACTCCAATCAACATGTTCCTGTTAGTGGGGGAAGCCTTACAGTTAAGATGTGCCATGCTCAGACAAAGACAAACCAAACAAATCTTTATTCCTCTTCTACTCTACCTGCTTCTTCCCTCCAGGGGTGAGGATTTGTGGCCCCAAAGCTGTCTGGGGATGAGTGGAGCAAGCCTGGCATGAGCCCCAGCTGGAGTGAACCTTTCAAATGGAGTCAGCTTCCCTCAGGGATGAGGATGAGCCTTCACACCCCATGATCCTACACACCTGCAAGCCTCTCTTGCTCAGTGCAACATCTGAGCACAGAGCCTTGGTTGTTGTTTGCAGGTCCCAAATTCTCCCTTTCACGTGTAACACGGTGGCATTAAGACCAGGGCTGCTGTTCCCACCACGCAGTAGCCACGTTTGCCACTTGGGCTAATGAAATGCCCATGTTGTCTATTAGCAGGCAATTATCCTGTGGTATTTTCAAGCACTGGATCTCTGTCATTTTTTGATAATTTTCTGTAAGCAACAGCATAATCAGTGGCTGGAGAACTCAGGAGAAGTTTCAGGAGCCAGATTGCAAATTGTGCCTCCTCTGCCTTGGCTAAGCAGGGGCAGCTCACACGGAGCCCACAGATCAGTGCTTTTTGTGGGGTTAGGGGAGGATGTGCCAGGAAAGTCCTGCCTCACTGGAAAATGGAGAAGCAAGAGAAGCACTGAAACCTGTGTGGGATGACTGAGAAAAATTCTATCAGAAATATAGTGGAGATGTAATTCCTATTAATTCAGAAGCAGGGAATTTTGTCAGCTGAGATCCTACCATTTCCTTTTGTACACAAGAAAAAAAAATGCTGAATATATGCAAAAAGTAGCCTTACCAGAATATATATATAGATATATGAGTACATCCTATAAACTGCCCTTTCCCATCCCTCCCCTCTCCCAGTCAGGTTACAAAATTTCCTTCCTTTGGTGACAGCAAAGAAGCCTGTCTGCCTGGGTCTCCACCTGAGGCAGTCTGGAAGAATTGGACAAGCCATAAAAATACACTAATTTTTACATTCCTAATCAAAGAACACTTTGGATCTTGAAAACCTGAAGTGCCTGATTTCTGGGGGTTTATTTTCTGCACGTTTTCACTGTTTCTCAGTGCGTTGGCAGGTCTGGGCAGCAAAACGGGGTGGGAGGATTTTGTATTTCCTCTTGGGTCCCTTCATGTGCGTGCTGCTCTCCTGCCTGGATTCACAAGGTGGAAGGGAAAGTGTAAATGTCTATCTTCTTCCTTTTTCAGTGTGATTGTTCCCTAAACTATCCCACCAAATCCCTGGTGACCAGTAGTGTCAGTATAAATGGGGATCGCTGCAGGGCATGGTTGACTCGGGCACATTATGGATCTGGGGCACCAGCTTCTGCATTCCCCGTGTCAGTTCTGGCAGCTGTGGAACTGGAAGAAAATGTCCCAAAAAAAGATATGAGGGTGGTTTCCACACATCTCTGCATGTGTGCCACTCTGGTTCCAGCAGTGATGCTCTCAGCCAGCCTCACGGAGGACAAATCAGGGAAAGGATTTCTCTCATAGTTTTGGTGAAAGAGAAATCCTACAGTGAAGTGAGGAGAAATCCCTCTTCAGTTAGCTTTGGGCTAATTAAAAATAGTTCTCCTTACACAGCTATGAGAGTGAAATGGGGTTAAAACCCTGTCTGGCTCAAATATCTCATTTCCAGGACAATGATGTCTTGAGAAGCCGAGGACTGCCTTAATCCGTGTCACTCTCTATATCTCCTGAAACTTGAGGTCAGCCCAGCACTCATCACTCATAATCCATTTGACTGAAGGAGAGGCAGGTGCTCAAATCACCCTCTGCAGGTTATTCTCTCCTCTCTGACCAGGCTTCTGCTCACATTTGGTGGTGAGTCTCAGATGTCTGTGCCAGGCAGGGATACCTGGGTGCACCTGGGTGAAGTGGGGTGGGGGTCACTGCTGAATTTGGGTGGCCTCAGCTCCATTCTGTCTCTGCAGCCAGTCACTGTAAGCCAGCCTTAGGGCCTGATGCATCTGTACTTCAATGCAAAGATGGCTTTGTGGAGTATTGAGGTAACAAATTAAATAGTTATTGCCCATATCTTCTTAAAAAAAGAAAGGAAAAAGAAATTGCCAGCTCCCCCACAACAAGTTTGAAGTTTAGATGAGGCTTTCAATTATCTGCTAGGACAAAGGCATGGAGACCAGGTACCAAAACCAAAAGAAAAATGTACCCCAGTCTTTGTAGATGCAGTCACTGTTTATGGTATTTGGCTACAGAGGCAATTTAGCAGAGAATATATGCTACTGAGTAGTGATTACTAGAGACAGCCATTTAGCAGAAAGCAAAAATCCCTGGTGAGGAGGAACTGCAGAGACCTGAGATGAGCTACCCCCAAAATTCACCTCCTTGGAGCCCTTCCTACAGGTGCTGCAGTCTGCGTGTGGCCACTCCAAAATGACCCGGTGAAGATGCTGCTGGCTGGGGGTCCAGCACAGGCCAGGGCTTTCCTAAGCCTCAGAACAGCTCGGCCATGCCTTGGGGTGTGTGTTAGAGGCCGAGGAGGAGCAGAGATCCTGCACCAAAGCCGCAGAGCGATGGGTCCCAAGTTCCTGCTGTGCCTTAAGGAGGCCTCGAGCTTCGCGCCCGGGACTGAGCTGCTGTTGTTCCTCTGCACCTCCCTCGAATCCCCCTAAGCCAACACCCTTTGCTAAGACCGAAAAACATTTTCCAGACGCAAGCATGTGTACGTGTGTGGGTGGGTGGGGTGCAGGGGACTATGAAAATTTCAAGGCGAGGTATGACATCCTGGCTTTCTAAATATAGAGGACCTGAGCTGCGGCTTCTCTCACACGCTAGCAGCGTGCTTTCTCTTTCGAAAGGGCCCCAGAGCAAATATTGCACCGGCTGGGAGCGTGAAAAAAGGAAAACAAGCAAAAAAAAAAAAAAATAGAAAAAATTAGAAAAAAATTAGCCCTGCGAGCTGATTGCAGCTCCCGGCGTTCCTGCGCAGAGCTGTGCTTTAGGCACAGCTCCAGGCAGTGCCCACGCACGGCGGCCGGGCCAGCCAGGCGCAGATGGCCGCCACACGAACCTGGTGGCAGCCCCAGCGTGGGGCCAGGCCTGCTGGGCTTCCCCTTCGCCCTCAGCCCCGGGGAGGGAGAGGGACACAGGCCCTGGCTGTGAGGGGCTGAGACTGTGACATTTTGGCTCCACGCGTCTCGGTTCCCTTTTCGCTGCCGCCGCTGTTGCTTCGGTATTTGCATAGCACGACATCAAAAATGCCTCGGAGCCAAAGTGTGGCTGCTGCTGCTTCTCCTTTGAAAATCCCGAGCAGTTATCCATGCAACACCATCGCTCTGTGTGTGCTTGGGGTGGAGGAGCGGGCATGACACCAGAGGGTTATGGCCTTTGGAAAAGTTCTGCAGAACTGAATTTAATCGAGACTGATGATCTCTAAGCCAAGCTATAAAATCCAGCGGAGAGTTATATCCCAGTAATAGACCCTATTAGAGGGTCTAGCACAGTCTATAGAAAGGATCTCCTCTCTATTAAATTCTCTAGGGCTTGAGTTCTCATTTACACAAAGGGTCCTTTTAGCTGTGTAAAATGGCTATGAAGTAGGTGTAAAGATGATTGATGCCGTCTTTACAACCCCTTTACACTGGGAAAACAGTGTAAAGTGGCCAGGGTGCAAATGAGAATCACACCTGGGTTTGTGAGAGTAAATTACATAGAGCTCTTTGCAAATTCTGTGTGTCCATAGAGGCTTAATCCTACTCCTTTCTGTGGAATTCACCTAGAAGATAAATTTCCCAGGCCTATAAAAAATTGTTTTCTTCTTCAACACCTCTGTCCTTTCCAAGCCTTTTAGTCCCAGCCTTTCTCCTGGTTCAGTCCATGTGGACTCCGACACTAGGAAAAGGCTGGGAGGTGTCTGGATATGCTGTGGTAGGTGAAAATCCTTTAATTAGTACTTTCCAAAATTCTTAATGCAAACAAAATATACATTGTAAAACCATACCCAGGGGGAAACCAGTTCCTAAACCTTCTGTGTCTGTTTCTTCACCTCTCCTGTTTTGATTTTATGCTCTTGAGATACATGAAAAGGAAATAGAGAAGTTCACGTTTGCTAGATCGAAATGCCCCATATTTATTCATTAAGCATATAAACCACCAACAGAATACATGATGAATATTGCTTTCTTCCAGAGCAAAGGGTTAAGCTGCATTGTGCTGATTAGCAAACCGAATTTGTGGCTGGAAGTGGAGGGTGATATGGAGGTGCACAGCTTGTTAAGTGGAGCAGGCTCTGTTATCCAGACCTCCCTTCTCCCTGCCCACACACAGAAGGCATTTCCAGCAGCTCTGTGATCATCCCCGCTGTGTCTGCCGTGCCCTGGAGCAGCCCCAGCAAATCTCAGCCCAGGGGTGAGCAGGCAGAGGCCAGGCATGGTCAGCCCAGCCCCATCCCACAGCACCTGCGAGGTGATGGGAGATGGGAGACGGCGGGTGAGGCAGAGGTCAGAGGCTTAAGGAGACAAAGGGCAGCTCTGGTGGAAATGCCACTGGGCCAGGGCTGGAGTACTGCACACCAAGCTATCCCCTGAGCAACAGGGACGTTTGGGATGGGTGCAGGTGGAAGCATGCCCTGCTCTTCCAGCACAGCTTTCCTCTTCTTGTGCCAGCCATCGTGCAGTGGTGAGGCTGGGAGGAGGCCCCAAAGCTCAGCTGTCATTCAAACTCCCTTTGATCCCTCTCCTGTTCCTTGTAATCTTCTGTGTGGAAAGAGGATCCCACATTTTTGGCTGGAGGGAGGGGCAGGTGCACCAGGGTCGTGCAGGTAGGAGAAAGGTACACCCCCTGCCCTGAGATTCTGCAGAGAGCACGGCTGGAGGCGTGTGTGGGATGGGGAACAAACCTGAGCACATCACAAGGTGAGAGGCCCCCCTGTGTACCCATCTCCAGGCAGGATTGACCTGCCACAGGTCTGTGGGCACTGCTGGCAGCACGTTCCAGGAGATGGGATGGTTCCTGCCAGATCCGCATGGATGGCCCCAAGGATGAGTCTGATACCACCAGTGCTCCCGTCTCAGCTTGCCCCAGCAGTGCCTGGGAGGCAGAACAAGGTCTTTGGATGGGTGGTGACATGGGCACCCTTGCAAATGTGCCCTGCAGCCAGGCTTACAAGTAGTTGTTACTTCTGGTGCAATAAAAAAGGTCACTCAAAACCCCTCATGTTCTGCAGTTCCTCACTTTGTGGCTTGGCAGAGACCACCTTGGTGATGCTATGTCTGCTCCTGAGGCACTTTCCATGACTAAAACTACAGCACCTACACCCAGCAGTGTTCTAGGTGGGCCACAGGAGACTTCACTACTCTCTGTGATCTTCTGACCCTGGAGGCTTGATGGTCTAGCCCCTGGATGATGCGTGATCACTGTATGGAAGACAGTTTTTTTTGTAGGAT